AATTGATAAAATAGATAAATTGATAAAATAGATAAATTGATAAAATAAATAAATTGATAAAACAGATAAATTGATAAAATAGATAAATTGATAAATTGGTAAATTGGTAAATTGATAAATTTATAAATTGGTAAATTGATAAAATTGATAAATTCATAAATTGATAAAATTGATAAAATTGATAAATTGACAAAATTGATATATTGATACAATTGATAAATAGGTAAAATTGATAAAATTGATTAATTGGTAAAATTGATAAAATTGATAATTTGATAAAATTGATAAATTGATAAATTGATAATTTGATAAATTGATAAATTGATAAAATTGATAAAATTGATAAAATTGATAAATTGATAAATTGCTAATTTGATAATTTGATAAATTTATTAATTGATTAATTGATAAATTGATAAATTGATAAATTGATATATTGGTAAATTGATAAATCGGTAAATTGAAAAAATTGACATATTGACAAAATTGATAAATTGATAAAATTGATAAATTGATACAATTGATAAATTGATAAAATTGATAATTAGCTAAAATTGATAAATTGATAAAATTGATAAATTGTTAAAATTGATAAATTGATAAAATAGATAAATTGATAAAATAAATAAATTTATAAAATAGATATATTGATAAAATAAATGAATTGATAAAATAGATAAATTGATAAAATAGATAAATTAATAAAATAAATAAATTTATTAAATAAATAAATTAATAAAATAAAAAAATTAATAAAATAAAGAAATAATAAAATATATAAATTAATAAATAAAAAATTTTTCGAAAACATGCTCGGAAATGTTTGCATTGCTTTCAAAAAACGAACACGGAGAGTTTGTCATTATGGACCGTGCGATTTCTTTCCGGCCAAGGCCTGCAAATTAAGATTGAAAATCCAGTCCGCTGATCTAAACTTCTAAATTATATAGATTTAACAATGAACTATGTAAACATGCAAAAGAAAATCTAATACAACCAACTGTAATAATTTCGATTATTAAATATTTTACCTCTTACTTAAAAAAAGTCAATAATATAATCTGAAGTGCTTTGGTATTTATCGAGTTTTTAGGTTTTCGCGATTGTTACACATAGGAAATGAAACTATTTTTCCGGATTTAAATCGCAAAATCAAAATCAAAATCAGTCTACCGTGACCATGGGACCTGCCAATGAAACGCCAGTTTATTTGAAAAAACAAATATACGCGATATATATATCCGGAAAAATAGTTTCATTTCTTATGATTTGGTATTATTCTTTTCAAAACTGAAACCGACTTTTTTTGTATTTTCATCGCGAAAATGTATTCTAATGACAATAGCGGTAATAAAAATACAGTAATTGATTGGACTCCGTATAATTTAAAACCGAGGCAATATTATCCAAATGTCAGATATTATTTTTAATATTAATTAATATAATTTTTACTTTTTTATTATCACAACTTCCTGTCTTTAAACTTTAAGACTAACTTTAAGTTACATAAAAGTTAAATAAAAGAATTTTTTATTTTTTATTTTTTTTATTTATTTATTTATTTTACATTACTGTAGTTTATATTAGTATATATTTTATACACTGTAGTTGCGCTTGTGTTATTTATTTTACAAATTTTATTCGCAACGAGAGTTCGTTAATTACCCGGATGAAAAAAAATAACAAACGCAGATATTTTGCACGAATTAAATTTCACTGGGTTCGCGATATTGCAAATTAACCGACTTCCATTTTTGCGAAAATACTAGAGCGAAAAGTTAGTGAGCTATTAATTAATATAATTAGACAATGCCTGTTGTTACATAGAACATACTTCGTATGTATAGTTTCATTTAGGTAAATATTGACAGCTACGCTCTCGAGGCTGTCAAATGAGATTTAGATATTAATTATAATTTTAAATTAAAAATTAAAACTGCCTCTGTGGCCGAACGGTTACCATGCCGGAATGCCACGCAGAGGCCCCAGGTTCGATTCCCGGGCCGGGAGAAATATTTAGTATAGCCTACATTTATTTCTCTCGTGAGTTTGGGTGTAATTTGTGGTTGTCTATGTGTGTGTTCATGGCATCCGCGACACAGGGTTTCCCTAGTGCGGGGCTATGTTGAGTGTGTGCGTTATTATTATTATTATATTATAATTTGACTTTATTGTTGCAGGATAATTTATGGTATTCAGAAGACTTTTGCATCCTCTGTCCGGTGTTGGAAATATCCATGCTGGACGACCGCTTTACGGACAAATACTTCGGTGTTGCCATAACTATGGCCGAAATTCCTTGTGAAAGAGGAAGTTGTGAAGGTATATAGCATTATTAGAATAGTATAGAATAGAAGCCAACAACAACAATACAAAAATACACAGAAAGAAGAGAAGAATTAACCAAAATTAAAACTAAAAAACATAAGTACTTAGTCAACACACGATTTCAACTATACTTCGTTTCAATCCATTTTGAAGAAAAAGTAAACAAGCCAGTCACTGACCCGACCATAGACGGTTTAATGATGGCCAATTGTAACGCCAACTACACATCGATTAAATAATTGAATGAATTGATTTGTTCAATGCAGTCATATATTTATGTATATATTTAAAATTTCAATTCAAATTCTCCTTCAAATCCTTACACTCAGATACTCATTTGATTGCGATTGAAATGTTCGATGTTATAATCTATTACTAAACTTAAATTGATTGAACCGAATGTTTTTTTCGAACAGGACTATGCAACCATAGGCAAGTCATGGAAATATAGATGAATAATAACCTCACTTTTGGACTACCTTTTTTCAAATACGAGTTTACGATGCCATTCACATGAATATTGTTGGAAAAAGTGATTATATATCAAGCCGAAATCTTCGAAATATTCGTGAAAGTGTTACTTATTCGATTTATTGAGTGATTGCTTTCGAATTTTAACCAAACAGGTTTTTTTACTTCTTGTTCAAAATGGATTGAAATAGACTATACTGTCGTGTGTGCGGCTGTGGCGTATGCAACTCTGCTAATGCCACAGCCGAGGCTGTGACGCTGATTTTCAGTGGACCCTAATGTCACGTTAAGTACCGGACGTATGTGTCGCGTATATAAACTACGAAACGTATTTATGTAATGTAGTACGCCGAATACTTAAATAATTTATTAGATAAATACACAATAGTGTCTCAAGTGATCCTACCGCCTTCAGTTGGCGCTGTAGAAACCTAGGCGGCGGTAGGGGCATCGGAAACAATTGGGGGGCGTCGATACTGTCTGGGGGTGACAAATTGAAATTTTTCATCTTACCTAAGTGGGCGGTGAGCCTAAAACTTTGGGAACCTATAATATACACTCATACCCGCGCGCACACATTTATGTGTATACATCAATACTTATTATGGATATTTAGTTGAATATGAGTAGATTTGTCGATATATGTCCACGTGTTTATATAATAAAATAAATTCAATTCTTAATATTTACCCATTATCGACATACGAAACGAAACGTAAAGTAACGCATTTCCTTCAGGCTCTTGATTACGATCAAACTGAATTACTACTATTACGATAAAACTAGTATTAATAACACGTAAAAATAGCTCCCCACACATCAGCGTATCAAATAATACACACACCAACACACACAAACACACACCCACACACACACACACCCACCCACACAAACACACATACACACACACAAACAAACAAACACACATAAATATGTATATACGTATATATATATTAGTAAATGTTATATTAATAGCAGATACATTAACTGCCAGAAATAAATAAGTGTCACTAATTATGAGAAGACACTGATTTCCGTAACACAGGTCTTTGAACCTAGCTCGGAAGCCAGGGCCTACAATGACATGTAACTTTTCTGTTTAAATAAAGAATTTATTATTATTATTATTATTATTATTTGTCGCAATGGTACCTACACAAAGTTCGAAATTGTAACGATTTTTATCGATAATTATCCAGGTTGATTCATAGTTTTGAACTAAAAATGATACATTGTGAGGATACTCGAGACTTTTGTACGTACAGAAATCTTTGAGAAAGCGATTAAGTTTGTGACTTTTTTTGGGATAGACATTTGGCGCGTATGTATACGTCTCAGGTACAAACACATGGTAGTATTTTGATTCAATAAATTTTATAAATATCAAGTTAATCTATGAAGATAATTATTGTGAATTTATCATTATTATTATCAATGATAATTTTCACTTCGAAGCTTGCTGTATAACTTTCGTTTATTTGTTTGTAACTAACCTAAAATGTTCAGCTATTCTTTGGATAAGGTTATATTTGATTTAAAAATCCAAATCATTTAATTCCAAAACATTTTCATTGCGCGTTTTAGCGTCTATAACTACAGTACCGGCACGCTATGATGCCCGTTTTAATGTTTGTCCGCTCGTCAAGTTTCTTATGAAATTCATAACTACGTTGAAAGAGCTAATTGCTGCACATTGTTGTCAATAGTGACGTGCAATAAAATTTGTGGAAATTATAATTTTACGACACAACTCGGCATTTGTTTTTCGGAAGTAGAATTTTTTTGAATAAGATCTTATACAAAATATATTAGATAAACATTTTTATTTTCGTTTTATTAAAACTTTTTAATCAGCTACCCCCTTTTTAGTTAAATTCGCACTTGATTTTATTTTTTGTATAATTAATTGAGATGTCACCTTGTTCGGGCGCCAATGAAAGGGTTGTAACCCTAACAACCGTGATCAGGATCACGGCAGTAAAACAGGAAACTTCCGGCCCACAAATTTATTTAACGTGAAGTAAGAGGTAACGAAAAGAAAAAAAACCCTTATCGGGTTGTATTATGTTGAATTACAGATAGACTGTTCGCTTATTATGGTCGATACATGATTTACATTGATTGTATTAAGAATAAAAAATAATTAGACAATATGATTTAGTAGTATCCGCTATCGCGGTCAAGCAGGGAGTGACAGTCGAAAGAAATAAAATCAGAATGCGTAGAAAAACGGAACAATTCAAAATTTTAAATTTAAATATGAGTAGAAGAAGAAAAACGATTCGATACGAATGGAGAGAGGCGACACAAAAAGGTGGGATGACGGCGTAAGGAGGTCACACCGTCACAACCACACTATTGTAATCTGTCAAAACGGCCATCATAGCGTGCCGGTACTTTTGGAAAATAAATACATTTGACCTATCCTTTGTTTGCAGATGTCGCAGCAATGATGACAGAAATTAGTAAGTTTTCTTTGTCTTATTTGAGGAACATTCATATTCTATTTTGCGCATAATTGAAGTGTGCTCACCGGTCTGTAATACCTTCATCTAGGTAGTCGTAAGCTTCACTACACAGGACCACGGGCTGCACAAAACTCTGTAAACCAAGTATACAACTACATTGATTTCCGGCAAGGATACACTGTGTTGCAACTTCTAAGGTGTCTACCTGATTTCCGCTTCAGAATGTACAGGAATAATATGGTCCATGGAATAATTGTTAATTTGGTAAGTATCATCGTCAAAGTCAAAAGTCTAAAAATCATTTAGAGTCGTTACATACGGCGACATTTACGAAACGCGTTTTTTTTATAATAATAACGCACACACTCAACGTAGCCCCGCACTATAGAAACCCTGTGTAGCGGGTGACATGGATTGCATCGCTACACTTGCGATTTATAGGTGATTGCATCGTTGCAAACGCACGACTATAATAAAAAAAATAATAAATTTAGTAAATGAAACTATTTTTCCGGATTTAAATCACGTATATTTGTTTTTTCAAACAAATTGACGTTTCGGGTCGCGTGTGTAAAGGTAGACGATTAACGACTGCATCGCATTTGTATCGCTGCCAAAAGTCGCCTTATGTAACAGCTCTTAATTTTCTTCCATGGGTAAAACAAATTTTCACTTGTTAACGTCATTTTTTAAACTACTGCTCGTTCATTGTGCTGACTTGCCTAAGAACGAGCGAGAAACTCTAGGAGTTGCTCTTTTTACATAAATTTTAATGCTTTGGAACACTCGGAATCAAGCTTGTGTGGCTCCGGAATCTTGTGTTCCCCATAAAAGAATCGCTTGCCTTAGTTAAACAAAATCGTGGTACCATAAGTTTGGACATAGTTCTAAGGTTAATATTATGGATATTTTCTTTCTAAATGGAATTGTTTCCACTTGTACATATTCATAATAATTTTAAATGTATTTTGTTACTTTATACACAATTTATATTACCTATGCTCTTTGACTTTAATTCTTTACTACTTCACTGTATTTTTGCGGTTAGGAAAATTGTTTATCGGAAGTAGAAAAACGTCACAAGCAAATGTATTACAATTCTCCAAGTGAGCTGATCGATGAACTAAACAAAGCCATAGATGATGCTGTAGGAAACATCTTGAAGTACCTAGATATCGTTCAGTATTCCAGTTACACCTCTGGTGATGACGTTTTGCATCCATTTACTACAGAATTAGATCAGAAACAGCTTGCTTTGCAGAAGGAAGAAATTGTAAGTAACGTTCTGCGTAACATCAACGAATGAATGATTGAATGAAATATAAAATTACAATGCCTGCACAGAACAGTAACTTAACGTCGTTTGTTTTCATTGATCTGCAGTACCTGTATACCTTTTCTCTGTAAATATATTTTAATAATATATCCATGTATTATTTATCCATTAACACCCTGAGTCAAGTCTAAATTTTTCTTTATGTGTATATAGGACTTGTGTAAAATTTTATGAATTCAGTTATATTTAAAAAAGTTCGTTTGTAATTGTTGTAGCTAAAGTAACTTTATAAAATGAATGAATTAGTAATTTATTACAGGAAAAGATATATCACCAATTGACAAATAAGGTCCCAGGGTCTGTAACGAATCTAATGCAGACAATGAGTGCCAGTTTTAATCAAAGTAGGTCGGATAACAAAAAAATTGTGAAGATTCTGTTAGCTGAAACTAAAACGTTGGCAAGAAATCTCAAGAATATTCTCTTCCAGGTTTGTTTAGGATTTTATTGGCTTTTTGTATCAATCAAACAATTAGGCAGCGAAGTTACATTCTCTTAACAAAAATATTCTTATTATTCATACCCATCGAGTATATAACCAGAAATAATGCGTAGGCCCACTATAAGTTTCTGGTGTGAATAAGAAAAAATACTATAAATTGTCAGAAATTACTTTATTCTTTCTCAAAATATTCTCCGTTAGCGTTAATGCATTTTTTCATACGAATGAACCAATTTTGAAAACATTTATGCCACTCCTCCGTGACAATCTCTGAAAAATATTTTTCATACTCTTCGACACCCTCTTCAGGTGATGAAAATCGTTGACCGCGTTTCTGGTTCTTAATTTTTGGAAATAAATAAAAGTCACAAGGTGCCAGGTCGGGACTGTACGCGTAACGGCTCATAAAGTCAACGTTGTCCACCTTCAAAAATTCATTTGTCTGTCTGGCCGTGTGAGAACTGGCATTATCGTGGTGCAAGATGATGCGGCGTTTACGGTTATTTTTACTGAATTTGTCAATAACTTCCGGCAGACAAATGGTCGTGTATCAATCACTATTCACGATGCAACGATCCTCCAAAGCTCCAGTAGCCACGTGTCCAGTTTTAAAAGAAGCAATCATCCGTTTAGAGGCACTTTGAACGCGCACCACTTTGGTTGGTTTCGGCTCATCTCGAAAGACCCATAAGCTCGATTGCTGCTGTGTTTTGGGATCGTAACTATAAATCCATGTTTCGTCACCTGCTACTATGTCTTGCACCAAATTTGACGCCCCTTCGTTGATTCTGGTAAGCATGGCATTGCACCAAGAGATGCGATCCGTTTTTTGAGCTTCAGTCAAATTGTGTGGGATCCACCGAGAGCACAGCTTTTTCACACCCAAATTTTTGTGTAGTATTGATTGTATTTGATTCATGCCTATGCCTAAAGATGCTCAAATCTCATGGTATATCACATGCCTGCTTGTTTTGAACATACGTCGAACAGCATCGATGTTTTTGTTGTTCACAGCAGTGGACGGGCGACCATCACGAAATTCGTCAATGAGATTCACACGGCCGCGTTTGAATTCAGCAAACCAGCTAACTATAAATAGTTCTCTTGCATGATGCTTCATCGCCAAAAGCAGGTTGAAGCCGAGCGAAGCTCCGCTGAGCTGTTGAATTACACTTAAAGTCGTAGAAAATCATACTACGAAAATCGTCACGAGTTAAATCCCTTTTTTTCTATATCTATGGTTAAATCCATGCTGATGTAGACAACCAATTTCTAAAATGACGCCACAATGTAAAAACAGGTGACAGTCATATGAAACAAACTGTATTCTACAGCCAAAGAGTTCCATTTTCGAATGTTGTAATTACTTTTTAAACATTGTTTATGTAAGTGGCCAGTTCCGGAAACTTATAGTGCGCCCTATGTAGTAACAACGACGAAAGGAAATTTTGTAGAGAATTATTACACATTGATGCTTGACGGCAGAAATAGGTTTAGTGTTCCTTGTGGAAGAGTTCGTTCATTACTATCATCTCACCTATTTCTGTCGCCAAGAGGTAATGTCATGTCAATGTCCGGTTGTGATGGGTATAAGGCTGCTGCTGAAATTACAAGTACATGCAGAGATGGGGAGTGGGTTAAAAAGCAATCAACCCGCCCGAATTTTAACCGGGATTTTAGCCTACAACCGGGTTTTAACTCATTTCTGCCCAAAATCATGGGCAGAAATGCAAAATCATTATACACGCGAAATAATACGGAATTTAGCATAATTCCATAGTTAAAAATTTCTTTTTTGAAATGATGGCATTACTTACATTTTAACAAAACTCGTTTTACAGATATTCATTTGTAAATAGTTTTGTCCTCAATTTCGGGCATTAATGGGTTTTAAATCGACTTAAACCTGGCGTTAACACAACGCCGGGTTAAATAAAACCCGAACTCTGGCCCATTTCTGGGCATATGGGACTTGTCCACTTATATCTCAGGGTGGCAGTGCCCCTCGAATCTTTGCGATTTAATTCTCTGAGTGGCACTGCAACTGTTATGCACAGGAGTGTCGCTTTCCATCAAGTTCTCGACTCTACTACAAAAAATCTCTTTAAGACATTTTTATATTTCAGAATCCAGAAGGTTGGCCAGATATAGTTATATGGCTGTTGAACGGGAGATCCAGAGTCGCGTACGCCAGGGTATCACCTTCAGATGTCATTTTCTCTGTCATTCCAGAGCAATGTGGACGAAATTGTGGCGCTATACAAACTCTATTTTTCAAGGTCTGGGTCTGGAGACTACTTAATTCACTTATTATCATTAGTTACGTTAATAATTAGGAATAATTGTAATTTGTAGTAGTATAGAAGAAGAATACGTGAATAATTGTAACTTTTTTTTTTATAAAAAAAAGCTGACCTCAAAAGTTCGTGGAATTTGAAACAAAGCATATTTGTCAAGTTTTATTGAAATCGATTACCTGAAAGTACGCGAAACCTGATTCATCCCCTAGTTTGCCACCCTTAGAGGTGGCATATTTTCTCGAATTTAAATGGAATCAATAATCAGGTACCCTCTTTCCAACAAAAAAAGAATCATTAAAATCGGTTTACAAATTACTCAATTATTTTTAAATTTGCTTTAGCCGCTCACGCGACGCGCTCCTCCTACCGCAAAATGGTGGCTATTTGGTTTCGCAAATTAGAAAAGCATTCAGTTTAAATACAAGTTTTTATAAATAAAAATTATTATTCTTCATTGCTAAATAAATTCCCTCCGTACTACCAACAAAAACATCTCAAATAAAATGCAGTAATACACCGCAAATCCTGCACTTAAAAAGCACTAATGAAATTTTTGGTGTACTTGGGTAAATTTGATAATATTCCGTTTGAGTGGTTCTAACGTTTACCATGAAATTACTCCTTGAAGTATAGTTTATAAAAATTTATATTCAGGGTAAACTTAAAAAACATTACTTACGGTATGTTTTCAATAAATAAACAGCGAAATCACCAGCCCAAACAATAACACACACGATTGTCGTGATGTATTTTTGAAGTTGTTTATTTTTTTTTAATGACAGACCCAGGCATTAAAAACTTTATGTTTTGCTAGAGTAGTTACCGAAATAGCAATTAGTATTAGTTCTGTTACCTGTTATAACTTCGATATCCGATAAATCGGTATAAAATCATCACCGGCACCTCTAGGTGTGGTATGCGTCTACGGCTGCATGTATCGCGTGAGCGGTTAGACAGTTCTGGCGGATACATATTCTGTCTGTTATGAAAAAAATGAAAGAAAAACGTTTATTCAATCCACTGAGTCACTTTACATGCTTAAATCTAATACTTAACACTAAAACTATAACTTACTCATAATTGGGTAATTTTTCAGTCAGTAAGTATGTAAAGTGGTAAAAGAAAAAAGGACATGACTCTACAAAAGGTCTTTCTCGAGAGAGGCTTGCGACAAAGTCAAACAATCATTTATTCTATAGGTAAAATTTTACGGGTGCGATTCGTAATAAATAACAACAAATGACATATTTTTAGTCGATATAACGGTCAACAGATATAATTAATTTATGGTATACAGACATTTGACATATTCTTGCATGATATAAAGGTCACTGGGTATAATAGATGATTGATATAACAACTTTGAACCTAATATACTGACGGCATAATGTTCATTTTATATAAACACTTCAGATCTAACATTCACTGAACATAATGTATAATAAATATAATTCCATTGGTGTTTAGTTGCAACGTTGAATGAACCGAATTTGTTTGCATTTGCTAGTAGGTTCGACCTCCTCCTGTGGGCTTAGGTTAGGTGAGTATATGACAAAACTGCCAGAATCGAATTTGTTTGCATTTCCTAGTTGGTTCGACCTCCTCCTGTGGGTTTATGTTGGGTTAGTATATGACAAAGCTGCCAGAATCGAATATGTTTGCATTTCCTAGTTGGTTCGACCTCCTCCTGTGGGTTTAGATTAGGTTAGTATATGACAAAGCTGCCAGAATCGAATTTGTTTGCATTTGCTAGTTGGTTCGACCTCCTCCTGTGGGTTTAGGTTAAGTTAGTATATGCAATTAAATATTCTGCTTAAAGTTTTAATATTTTATAACATAAAAAGCACTTAAAGCTATACAAAAACAATTATATTTTGCGATTAATAGAATAAAAAAAATTCTTATCAACGTAATGTAAGGGCGCTTCAACTATTCGTAAAACGAAATATTGTGTTATATTATTTAATACATTATACTGGTAATACTTATACCATTTGTTCATTATGTCACTTAATCATTATATCTAATGTTTGTAATACTAAAGGTCCATTATACACATTGAAGTTATACCTTTTGTTGATTATACACAGTGAGTGATTTATATCCATATAAATTATATCAAAATGTTATTGTACCAAGTGAAAATAGATTATTTGTTATTATATCTTCCATTACACAACCAAATTTTACACTTGAAAACGTCATTTTTTAAACTGCTGCACGTTCACTGCGCTGACTTCCCTGAGAAGAATGAGCAAGAAATCCTTGGGATTGCTCATTTCAAATAAACCATGCTATGGAATACACTTTCAACCAAATTTGTTTTTTTATGATAGTAAGTAATGGGACGACCAAGTCGTGCGCCTGATGGTAAGCGACACGACTGTCCATAACAGTTGCAGTGCCACTCAAAGCTTTAAAACACAAACACAAAACACTGCCACCGCGCCCGTTACGCTGAGACATAAGTTGATTAGTCGCATGTGCCTGTAATTTCACCAGCACCTTACCCTTCAAAACCGGAACGCTGTACTGCTAATATTACTATTTGGCGGCAGAAATAGGTGACGTGGCAGTACTTCTCTGGAAGAAGTCTTGTATTTGTATGGAATCTAGAGTCATGTCCTCTTCCCATACATCTTTATCTAATATGTGGTTTTCATTCCCCATAAAAAATCAGGTAATGATGAGTTTGGACTTAGTTTAAGGGTAATACATTGACTTACAAATAAATGAACGACGGCTCTAATACAAAAACCACGAAAAAAATGTCCCAAGTCAACCTATTTAAACGTAGTGACATGTAAAGGAATATGACAATATATAAGTATAAGGAATATGAAAGCTAAAACGTTGAATTTAAATTGTAATGTCATCGCAGTACTGTTTAATTTTGCTTGCTTCGCTGTCAGTCGAACAAACGAAGACTAAAGCGTGAATGACGCTCTGTATACGATTTTAACGCCCTATAAGTTCGGACACTTTTTAGCGCGGACACCACGTCCATATAATGTAAGTCAATGGGGTAATATTATGTATACTTTAACGGGGATACAAAATATTTGAGTAAATGTACTGTGATACCAGTCTCCTTAAACTTTTCTCTGAGAGAAATCCGAGAACCTAAATGGTACACTACCAATATGGTTTGTAAGTCTGCCGCTTTACCCCAGATATTCAGTCGTTCATGTTTCATCGTCGACTGATTCCAGAGAACGTTACACATTATACATTTACCACACATGTATATTGTTATATAAGTAGCTAAGAGAGGTATGATTTACAAAGTAGTAATAATATAGAAATACGGTCCTGTATTATGTTTGTAAGCATCATGATAAGAATACTTTTTAAGTTACTAACCGCGCTGTGTACTATTTCATATTTCTTTTACAGCCATTAAAATGCGCGAAACACTTAAATACGACGTCTGCTTGCTATTGCATCGCTGGCAAGGTGGAACTTCTCTTCTGGATGGGTCTTTACAGGCAAAAATCAGCCTTTAACACGGCCGTACCTGAAGGCTATACACTCAAATACTATGATTGCGAAATGTGTTTAACGTGTCCTAGTCTTGTGAGTGAAGTTGTCGTTTGTTGAACAAAACCTCTTAAGGAGATTTTAACCTTGGATCATGGTCGTCCATTACGGGTTAGGGCAGAGAGTAAAGAATAAGAGAACGGACACTCTCCGCCCCTCCCTAGTTTTAGATACCGCACCACGCTCCGGACATTGCCGGTCACATTGACTGAACGACAACAAGGCTGCCGAGCGAGCCGTATTCGCGCGAAGACGGCTTTGGTATTTGAATATAGTTTTCATTTATTCATTACGAAACTTGTACGTTAATATAAAACATCATTTTACGTTACTATTTGTAATGGTCGTGAATTGTGCCATGTACGGCTGTTTATCATCATTTTCCAAAAGATGAAACGAAGTAAGTAAAAAAAACTTATGTCTAAGACACATTCAGTTATGGTTTTCTTCATTTATTTACTGCAGAGTAATATATATATGTATGTGTATCAAACATACAGATTTATTATATCAATATAATGAGACGCCATGACTTCGTGAGCTAGTAGACAAGGGTTTGCGAATTTTCTATTCGTATTGCCGATAAATATTACGTAGGTAGTGAATATATCTAAATTAAAAGCACTTAAAATGTTATACTTTGGTGAAGATTTATTTCAAAAATATATTTTTGAAATAAATCTTCAATATTCTTGTTAGTAATAGAAATTACTCTTGTTAGTGATTTATGAAAAAAAATCCTAATACACATGTATAATTCTAATAAGGATTCTAATTAATAGAATCATAGATTCGCGTTAGTATTTTCGTTATGTTGCTGCTCTGACCACGTAACGTAATTGTGCGAGAAAGTGATGGGTAAGCCTGCCACTTCACGCACACATTTACGCGTGTGCAGATAGCGCCTTATTGTGTGTAATAGTAGTAGGTAAAAATTTTTCGACTGTTGTATGGAGTGTCCGGGGTGTGGTTAGGATATTGACGACTTGACAGAGATTGTAATATTCTCCGACACACAACTAAAGCGAAAGAGAGTGACTAAATTCCATATATAAAATCTCTTATCAAATTGGTTAATATTAAATAATTGAATGGAACGGCTACCACCATTGTATTAATCTACATTTAATATGGTGACATGTGTATTATTTTGCGTCGGCCTGGGTAGTATTATACGCCGGCTTGGGTTGTATTTTGCCCCGGCCTGGGCTGTATTTTGCTCCGACCTGGGTTATTATTTAATTTATTCCAGTTATGATTTATATAAACGTTAAAATGCTTTACTAAAATGTTGATAAAATGTTTCAGGTGTTAGAATGCAGAGTCTTTATATTCAAAGCGAAATTGACTAACGTTGATAGCACCGTTAACCACATCGGCACGTTTGTAAGAGTGAACACATTGACTTCCGTCAAAGAAACTAAGGTACGCAGTGCCTAAGATATTGTATAAATATACTTTTTTTAAAGGTTAAGCTGTTTGAAACTTAAACTTTAGTACATAATACTGCACAAACGTTTATATGTTTTAATTATTTTGATATTTATGATAAGTTTGTGGAAATGTGCACGACAATTCCCTTGGTTTTAAGTTGTGACTTCTGTCATACGAAATCATTTGTATTCTATAAATATGCCATTTATGGTGATAGTATTCATAGAGTCCAGGTGAGTAACTCTATTGATAGGTATAAAAAGTTGCTTTTCTTTGTTATAAACAAGAATTGAACAGAGCTTGTTAGAGCGATACCACACGGACGCTGCTGGTGCTCTGCGTCATCACAACGTTTATTATTTGATTATATAAAATATAAAAATAATAATAATAATATAATTAATCTAATTTATAATTTATATATTGTTACGCCGCTTACTTACGCACCACAAGGCCCCTCTTCGCTTCGTCTACTGGCCCCTTATTTGATTATTATGCCATCGAGTATATAATCAGAAATAGAGACGAAATGTCATTTAGTTTGAAAACTATTCTGCCATATCATTACTGTGACAACTGCGCTCCGATTGGCCAGCCCGAGTCGTCAACTGTTTCACTTCAAATGGACAAGTTAACTTCAGCTTTGCTGTAATGGACAAAAATTACATATTTAATATTTAATTACCGATGAAATATGAATTGTTTTTTAATTAGATGTTTTGCTGTTTTACCCACGGCACGGCATTGTTAGAGATATTATCTTTATTACAATATATAGAGAATATTTTTTGGAATATACGGAGACGTACACATAGGTCAGTAGTTGGCCTGTCTATATTTTAGTGCAAACGAGAGTCGATATTTATAAGAGGTGTATCGCTAATGTGTTACCAGGAATGTATAGCCCTTATTTCGTCTCTATTTCTGGTTATATACTCGATGATCGATGCGTAAGCGTTTCGTCGCGTTGCCGCGCGCCCTTTCAACGCACCATGTGGCATGTTGTTCTAATCTATATGTACTACTTTGTAGCTTCACCTCTTAGACCTGGCGCTCACTGACGGGACGGGATGGCAGTGGATCCTTCGGCATTCCTAAATGCTAGCGCAAACTGACGGCAATTGTGTCGCGACATCTATAAGTGTGACTTTAAGCACACCAAGACATCCTTAAGCATGCCAAAACAGCCTTAGGCATGCCGAAGCTGCAACAACGCGAACTTATGTTAACATTCGTGTATCTAAATGAACTAAATTAATCAGGTTTTCTTCTGCCATGTTTCGTAAACAAATCATGAGTACTTATAGTGTTAGTAAGTTAATACAATGTCTTCGGTTCGGTTAGATTTTGTTGATTATGTTATTTATATAATTTAATGTTTCGTTTCAGTGTTATTCAAAACTGTACCTATAATTAATTTCGAGGCCTCAGGTTCGATTCCCGGGCCGGGAGAAATGTTTGTATGGCCTACATTTATTTCTCTCGTGAGTTTGGTTGTAATTTGTGGTTGTCTATATGTATATATGTATATATATGTCCATGGCACCCGCGCCACAGGGTTTCCCTAGAGCGGGGCTATGTTGAGTATGTGCGTTATTATTATTATTATTTCAGTTAGTAATTACACCTTGACTAGGAGAAAGTTGCGATTTTGTTAATAGTGTAAATATATTTGCGGTATTTTGATATTTCAGAAAATAGTATATTTTGTAACAGTCCCATAAATTTTACTGCACGTCACTATTGACACCAAATAGCTCCGTCAACGTAGTCATGAATTAATACGAAATTGATGACAAACGTCAAAACGGCCATCTTAGCGTGCCGGTACTGTAGTTAGTTTGATCGTCGGTAAATCATTACTTTCAGACACAATTGAGAACCCCAAGTCCAGTATGGAAACAAGTGTTGAAGCTACAGAAAACGGTGCCGATGAGTCAGCAGAGACTGGTCACCAATCCGCCTGTTGTTCTCATTGAAGTGTTTGAAATTGACGAATTGACAGTGAGTTTGAAGCGAAAATGTGTACATTAAAACGAAATTGGAATAAGCCAAGCATATCATCCGAAGAACAGAGTCCGATGTGGTTATATAGCAAAAAGTGAATAAGTACGTTATGAGAATAATTTCGTTATTCAAACTAAGACCTACGTAAAGGCGTTTTGAGAATTTATATATCTTATTTCGTTTCGGAAATATAGAATCGAACAACGGTCGATCTGACTGACATCCACAGCGAAGAAGAACGAATGAAACGTACTATGTCCTGAGAACAATCAGTCTTGCACATAGATCCTTGTTCTACGGATGAGTTGAATTACTTATCCAAATTCAATAATTCCTCTGTCTGTCCTTCTGAAATCTCGGAATGATCAAATTGAAATCTAAATGTCAAAACAAAATAGTACCGTAGTAATATAGTCACTCGTACTAAGTACATGAATGACACTTCAATATTATATACAAAAGAGTGTAATTCAAAAAGTCAGTGAACTCACCACAGAACCACCACGTGTGTCAACAATATACGCGGAATTCCACATACTTGAGCGCAGTCCTCCATTTTCGCTTCGTAGTGGAGCGTGGGGGATTTTTTTTTTTTTTTTTAATTTATTTGGGTCAACAAACAGTAGACACAATAAAAACTTAAATGTAATTTTTTTACAGTAAATATGTAGTGATTGTGTCACCAATACCGTCAACCACTAGTTACTACAAAAAACTGAGAAGTGGTGATGCATTTCTAATAAACTATTGAAGAATAAATAATTAATTAATAGTTATTATGTACAATATTAAACAAATTAAACCTTGATACAAAAATAATAATAATAATTACTACATAAGTATATAGGAGCATAGGAGAATAGGAGCCTACTAAGCAAAACTAATAATAAAAGTCATAATTTATGCAATTTAATTTTTATTACTTGTTAAGAACGTATGCTTGACATATCTGGTTACTAAATAATCACAGAAAACATATGAAACTAAAATATAATAATTGGTTAAAAAGAAAAAAACTAAAACATCTCATTTGCTCCCATTACCCCACAGTTCGGGAAATGGGAGCCGGTAAATATCCCGTGTGTCAAATGGGAGCCATTACAATTAAAATCAGTCTGAAAAGAATAAATAATTTAAATATAATATATAGGTACCTAAGTAAAAAACTAATGAAAATAAACAAAAAATTGTTAAAGGTATATAGAATATCCAGTAGATTATGTGACATAGCTAGTGTAAACACAATGTAGTATTTATGCATTTTACTGCTTATCTGGGATGATGAAATTTGGTAACCTAATAAGCGCGGAGCGAAAAACACTACCATCTCGTAAGACTAAAACAGGGTTCTACGGGGGCGCCTGCGGGAGGCAAACCTTGCGAACTTTAAAAGAAGACATAGGAGTGTCGTTTGCACAAATACGAGTATTGAGAAAGTCCAGTTTAACACCGCTCTCATTACCCGCGGGCTCCCAATACGCCACGTTCCCCTACGCCATAGCCGTGTCCATTATGTCCACGTCGGCGACAAGTGCATTCGTGTAGATTAGTTAGAAATAGTGTTTTATTATATTGTATGTTATACCTTAAGGCTTAGAATAATAACGCATAGAATGATAGTTTCATATCAAATGAACTGTCACAAGTGAGGCAAAAATCAAATTCATGTAGGCTAGTTCTAGTAGTAGGTCAATTTTCGGTTTTAGTGAATATTTATATAAAAATACAAGTTGAAACGCGTTACTTCCTTGTGGAATGTGATGTTAGTATCTATGTTATATTTGTCTGACGTATTTTTACACTCATTTACCGCACATTTCGTAATTTTTAGCTAAAATTCTTGATCTGTTCGCGGTGCAAGTTGACCTTGAGTACTGAAGGCCCGCCCGCTCGTGTAGGCCCATTGGGCGCGCTTCAATTTGCCTGACTTAGCGTGTGCGGACTAGGTTTCTATGCGTTATTATTCTAAGCAATATATACCATATTATATGAGTGTTTTATTGTATTATTATGTATGTTAGTCTAAAAGGTATGTATTTACGGGTCTTTGTAAACTGAGATTAATAAATAAAAAACAAATATAAAATTATAGCACTTAAAACCTCAAAAATCGTGGACAAAATGCCGTATTTCCCTACTTTGGATTGCAAAAATAATAGTTGCACCTGTAATATTATTACCCATACTAGCGTTTCATATCATCGTTAAGTCTTATTTTATTTAATTTTAATAAATTTAATTTCCATTTTCTGTTCATCGTAATAGATTTTTCTTGTAAGAAATGAAAGCAAACCTTACACCGCTGCAATATGGTCGACTATTTTTGGAAGCACGTTAATAGGTATTCATCGTTCTTCGTCTCATAGTCCTTCAGCTATTGCCGCTAGATGGCAGCATATGGAAAGAAATTTTAATATAAAATCAAAACGTCGTAATTTGCAAAGGTATGAACTTTTAAGGGTATGCCAACTGGGTAAAGTTTAAATTATATTAACAGAAAAACCAAATACAAAGACGCGAGGCAAGAACATAGAGGAATTCGTGAGGTCCGCTGGTACGTTCCGCGGATTAGTTGGTTAGGAAGTACGAGTAATCACTATCAAAATTTCGTAGTGTTTAATAAAGGGTCTTTCATCAAGAACTTTGTTTTTTAAAACAAAATAAAACAAAAAATTTAGATGAAGATGATTCAAATTTTTATTGTATTACAAAGAGAAAAGTTCGGCAATTATGAATGAAAAATGATATCTGGCAAATGTCCACCACGACCACGCTGACAGAAGTCGATTCTTTCATCAAAATTTTTAATCACTTTTTGGCAAAATGTCGGGTCTATTTCGGCTATCACATCACGGATTTTGAGTTTTAAGGCTGTAGTCGATTCGATTGGCTCCGTATAGACTCTGTCCTTAAGATAGCCCCACAAAAAATAATTCAGTGGTGTTAAATCACACGATCTGGCTGGCCATTTAACAGCTGAATTTCGGGAAATTACGCGATCAGCAAATTTGGTTTGCAATAAATTGATCGTCTCATTGGCTGTGTGACATGTGGCACCGTATATAATATGATAGTGTGAGTTTTGGCGTCAATGGTTTTGATAGTAAACGAGACTTAAAGCACTTCCATTGCTTTTTTTCTTGCGTAGATGTCATCATGTGTATCTATCAGTATCGAGTTTATAATCAGAAATAGAGACGAAATAAGGGCCATCCATCTCTGGTAATTCATCAAGTAAATGGGCCTTATATCACTTTTAAATATCAACTCTCCTTTGTACTGAAATCACAAATTAGAAAGCTGAAATAGTATCGCCAACAACTGACCTGTGCGTACGGCTTCGTATATTCTAAAAATATTCTGAATTACAAAATAAAGATGATAGCTCTAACAATGGGGGTTGTTCCATTCGGTGGTGTGGGAAAATCAGCAAAACAACTAATTATAAAACAAATGGAGTCACATTTCATGGGTAATTAAATATTTTGCAATTTTCGTCCATTATAGTAAAGCTCAAGTCAAACTGGTCGATTTGAAGTGAAACAATTGACGACACTCAAACGAAGAATGAAGGAATTTTTTCTAAGTGTTCGATCTTTGTATAACAAAACTAGTTGAGTAATTTCACAAAAAAATAATTGAATATCAATTCAATATATAAATTTGTCAGATATTGTTTTTTCTAAAGGTCAATTGGGTAGACCGCTTTGCGTTATAAAAAGGGAGGTTTATAAACAAAGGTAACTCTAGATTTTTGTTTTTATTTTTATATCTTTCGTTCTAGAACCGAAAGGAACTGATCGGTCGTTTTCAAATTCAGCCTGAGGTAGACGACGCTATGAATATGAAAATTGCTCCAAAATTGCAGTGGTATGAAATTTATAGAGGAGTGGAGTACACTGGACAGATACTGATGTCTGTGCAAATGATAATGGTTAGTCCGTGATCCTTTACTAGGAATCATCAATCAATAATCCATATAAATAGTATTAGGGTCAACCTCAATGGAACTTCCTTGACTGTGACTCATATTTAGTAATTTGGCATAAGCTTTATATGAGAAGCTAAACATTATATACTGTTTAAGGTACCAGAAAAATTAGTAAAAACGACTAGCTACCCTGATGTTGATGACATGGCATCTGTGAAGTGTCCAGAAGTGGAACATGATCTTTTTGAATCATTGCCGAGCTTTCTTATACCAAGTTCTACAACGTACAAGTAAGTCAAACTCAAAGACTCATTTATCCCACAGGTAAAGTAAATTTACATTTGAAAACGTCATATTTAATCTACTGCTTGTTCACTACGCTGATTTCCCTGAGAAGAACTAGCAAGAAACTCTAGGGATTGCTCTTTGCAAATAAACTTAAATGCTATGAAATACAGTTTGAATCAAATTTGTGTGGAGTCTAGAGCCATGTAGTCTTTCCATATATCTTTATCTAACATGTAGTCTTCAATTTTGTAATATGACTTTTCAATCAAAATATTTCTAATGTAGTTTTTACACTTAGGAAATGAAAATCTTAATATATGCTCCGGAATCTTATTGTAAAAACGTATACAGATCCCCATGAAAGAGTCGTTTACCTTGGTTAAACGAAACCGTAGTACCATGAGTTAGGACTTAGCTCTAAGGTTAATATTATGGATATCTTCTAAGCAACCACCTGCCTTATTATATTCACAATCAATATGTCTATGTGTTTTGTTTCCTTTTCAAAAATATAGAATGTTATTTATTCCGAGTTATTTATTCATTTTACAGAGTGGACGTATATTGGTGGGGTCTAAGAGACGTGAACATCACCAGAAAACCGTGCGTTGTTTTTGAAATAGACGATCTAATGCTGAAATCTGATATAATTGTTGATAATAAGGCGAACTGCAACTTTCCAAAAGGCCGTATTTCTGAGGTATTCGAATCTCTCATAAGTGATGTATACATGCCAACTTTAAGTATCAGATTGTATGACAGCAGCACATTTGGAAGAACCCTCTTTTTGGGAACTAACGTGGTCAAACACCCAACGAAATACATCGTTAATTGGTTATCTCAAAACGAAAGAGAGAAGTCGTTATATACAGCATCGATTTATTCGAATATTTTTTATCAAAGTAAGTTGGTAATCACGCGTTTGTATATCAACATGTGGTAGGTTATAATATTTTGTTTTGTTTCTTATATTCAGTCAATCAAACTTTGTTGGTAAAGAAATCTTCTAAATCAGTGGACATCGAAGATAATTCAAGTGTTACGAGTGTTCAGCCGCATGTGAAGAAGTCAAAGTTCAATAAATGGTTTTCTTCGAAGGAACCATTAGAGGAAGAGTTCACTTTATTGCCGGTTTACACGAAAGAAAAGGACCGTATAAAAGTCGTAAAGAAAGTATCAAGCATTGATTATAACAACGACTGGTGGACCAGATTCTTCTATTCAAATGACGTAATTAAATACTATTTTCACTGGTTGAAATGAAGTAGAAACGACAGAATGATTGTTATTATGTTTTGATTAATTTGCTTTAGGAGGAGACCACCGAAGATAATCAGATAACAAACCACATCACTGTAAGTACGCCGTTTCCTTTACATAATACGCATGTTTTGGTGCTGTAATGGCTGTGGAAATTTTTGTAGCACACTTTGATACCAATTTATGCACTAGATTTATAACTCGGAATTGGAAGCACAACCAGAATTTTCAAGATTTAAGGACTGGTGTAGTACAATGAAACTTTACAATGGAAAAAAGTCTGGGATACCGGATAAAGATGACGATCTACACTGTGGATATTTGAAAGCTGGCATTGCGATTTATAAATGGCCTCCTCCTGATAATACTGTGGCTGTCAATGAATTTGGAGTTCCATTAAATCGAGGGTAAATTGTTAAAGGCACTTGTTGAAATGTAAATCTATATCTAAGAGTGTTATCTTATTTATGATTTATTTGTAGAGTTTTCGCTGAGTATCCTAACAATAATCCCACAAAACACCTGGTCAGAGTTTACGTGGTAAAGGGATTGAATTTAACCCCGAAAGACTTTAGCGGCAAGTCCGATCCTTACGTGGTTCTTAATTGTGGCAACAAGAAACTTGGCGATAGCAGCAGCCATGTATCTAAATCTATTGATCCCATTTTTGGGAGGTAAGACTTGGACTACGTAGTACTTATTCATGCTTACACTTAAATAGCTTTAAGATACCGTACCGATATCAAACCAAATGAGTCTACAGTAATCGGTACCTCTGTTATGTAGAATGTACGAGTTTCACGCCACGTTACCAGAAGACTACCTTCTCAGAATATCACTGTACGATTACGATGCAATTTCTTCTGATGAACTTATCGGAACTACAACTATTGATCTGGAAGATCGTGTCTATACCAAGCATAGAGCAACAGTTGGAATTGGTGCGGAATATACCAGGTATTTAATATTAATAACTTATAAGTTGCTTTAAATCTCAATATCTAATATACTTGTCCCTGCTCGATCTTGAAAGTAAGCGATCCGATCTAGTTTAATCGGTCAACTGACATAATTCGGTCTTCGAGTTATTTTAGCTTAAATGTACTACTTCGAACTTTTAATACTATTATGTCAATAGTACCTATACTCTTCTAAATATTTAGAAATACAATTTTGTATGGAATCGATACTATTTGATTAACCTGAGAACTACAACTGTCCCTACTTGAAGTACTTTTAGATCTTAATAGTCCACCTGTCCTTACAGGTGAACTAATATGATCATCCCGCGCTTTGGTCCCGAAACGCAGACAATATCTAGTTCCTACAAAGACTCGTGAACTATTAAGGTCGTGCAAAAGGAACTAGTTCGTTTCGATCAGTGTTGAGAATTCATTCTCAGTTCTTCGTTCATGAAGTACTCAAGTCATTAGATTTGAGTACTATATCTCATTAGATATTAATCTAATGAGAGTTAAAACCAATTTCTGTGTTTAGATGGTGGCACGACTGCAAGAAACCGTCTACCATATTGGAAGAGTTGTGTAAAAAGAACCACATACCACTTTCTCTGTATCCTGATAATGCTAGTGTTTATGTCAACGGAGTCGAATACAGAGATAATAATTTGACAGGTACAAAGTGTAATAAATACGATGCGACTATATTTCAGTTAGTGATTATAGAACAACAAAACAACTGGTGAATGTTTGTGACTCCATGCAAATTTCCAGCAGACCAGGCAATTTATGTACAGAAAAGCAAAAACTTCAAATTAAGTTTGCTGTACAATGATGTACATTGTTACTGAATCATATAAACAATATTGCACAGAATGGTGGCTTGTAATTATGTGCCGAGACAGTCCGTACTGGTTAGTTCTCATGAAGATTATACACTGTTAAAAAACTGCATGTGATAGGTATTAAATTCAAGCCGTTCGCTAGTAGCCGCTCACGCGATACATGCAACCGTAGACGCATACCACACCTAGAGGTGCCGGTGATGATTTTATACCGATTTATCGGATATCGAAGTTATAACAGGTAAAAGAACTAATATTAATTGCTATTTCGGTAACTACTCTAGCAAACCATAAAGTTTTTAATGCCTGGGTCTGTCATTTAAAAAAA